TGTCTGTCTAGGTTAAATTGATAAAGAAGTGCAAGGATCTTGGACTGGGTCCTGGAGGCTTCTATTTACCTGGCTATCGTGATGGAGCAAAGCTGAACTTGAAGATGATGTGCCTTGGTAAAAATTGGGACCCTGAGACAAGTACTTATGGTGATGAAAGGCCTTGTGATGGCTCCAAACCTCCCATTATTCCTAAAGAATTTTGTGACTTGGCTAAAAGGGCTATAAAAGATTCCCATGCACATATAGAGAAAGACTCCAGAAAAAGATATGTGGAAGATGTTTTACCCTCGATGTCGCCTAACATCTGCATAGTCAATTTCTACTCAACAAGTGGCCGCCTTGGTCTCCATCAGGTTCTATCTTAGCTTTCTGTCCTATACCATTACCAATTTTCTGGACCAACTCTATGTAGATGCGACACAGTTATTTGCTTTCAAAAGTATACTTCGGACTTTAATGGCTCAAACAATGAGAAAAAAGGTGGTGATTCTTTATTTGCTTCGGCCTATTATAAGATTGCAGAATAATGACATCTAAGACAGGGGCAAAGCAATTTATGATATTCTCAAGTTGAACAACACTAAATATATTTTTTGTGCATGTCACTTGCAACTGTACAGGACAAAGATGAAAGCCAAGAGAGTCTTCGTAGAGGAGTGCCCGTGGTGTCCTTTTCAATTGGTGACTCTGCAGAATTTTTGTATGGTGACCAGAGAGAGATTAACCAGGTGGAGAAAATCAGACTGGAATCCGGGGATGTGCTGATATTTGGTGGTAAAGCTAGGAACATATATCATGGTGTCTCAACTATTTTTCCAGACACAGCTCCCAAGCTTCTGTTAGAAGAGACAAATTTGAGGGCTGGCCGTCTGAATCTCACTTTTAGAGAGTACTGACAGACATTTTTTGTGGGTTGGAAGCTGGATCAATTCGTTGAACTCAACTGAATTGTAACCTTAAATCCTTTCTATGTCCTATGATGTATTCCTGCAAAGACAGGAAATTGGTAAATCGCCAAAAAGAAAATTTGCAAGAACTTCAGAAAATCACGGATGCTTAGATCTAGAGGAAATCACGTAGCCTTCGGTTTGCATGGCTGCCAGACTACCATAATTGTGAAGCTGAGAGCATCATATGGTTGTCCTTTTTTTTTGGTGCAAATCTGCATGACATGCTTATTGACTGATAGAGCCATAGACATTAATTGGGGAGATCTATAAGAATAAAGTAGATCAATCTTATGCTCGAGTCTGGAGACTGTTGAAAGTGCTGATACAATGCACTGAATGGGCTATTGTGTGGCAGAAGCTTTTGTCGGGATTACATTCCACTGGTTGCATTGTAGGAGTTGGAATACTCTCGAGAATAATATACAGGAGGTCCCCAGCCAGTGAAGCTGTTCTTTTGGGGATCAGGAGTCAGCTAAATCCAACCTCATGCTCGCGGAAAATGAATAAACACACGAAGCCTAAGAGAGTGACAGCTTAATCATGAAATGTTGGACTTGTGCAATAGCTCAGAGGTATGGGCTTCAGAATGAAGCTGACATACCAATGTAGGGGTCGACATTCAACACCAAAGAAACCCCTTCTTTCGTACAAATTTGCATGGGTTTAAGACCTCAAGCAACGCGAAGAAGAAAATGGTAATAAAAATGTGAACTCATAGGCTCACCTTATAATATCAGTAATATGGCGCTCTTACCTTCCTGGTTTTTTTTTTTTGTGGTACAAATCATAGGTATCCGCACCTATTTTGCGATATGCGAGAGTAGGATAGGGCCCTTTTCAGGGAAGGAAAACTCTTCCATTACTATTTTTCTATTTTTATGGATTTCAAACCCAATATTTCATGATTAAAGAATGCAAACTCCTTCCACTCCCACTTGCGCTCTTTCCTTCACGGTTCTCATCACGGACTTTCTCCTCCTCGTCTCAGTCACCATCCCATTAGTTCAAGCCGCCAATTCCAAAAATGCCTTGGCCTCTCCCTCTGTCCCGTTGCAACTTACAATGTGATAAAACGATGATATGTTGGATGTTTTGTGTTGAAGTAGCTCCAGTTCAAGAGTGATATGATCGCAAACTTCTGACGGATTTTTCAGGGACGTACTTCTCCACGATATGATGTCTAGTTAAATGACCACGGCAAGTGCTATCTTAACAGCCCCCAATGGCTTCCTTGAAATGTCTAATAGTAGTGCTTAATACGGTTGGCGCCTTGGTTGGAAACCCTACTTGTGCTGCTCCCTTGCTGCATGATCAGAGGAACTGAGAAACGATTACCAATACAGAAGAAGTTTCACATAAATGCTTTTCTGCACGTTCTTAATTCTTATTTGTGCTTGTTTTATTATGTCTAGGCAAGACGCTAACCAAACGTTTGATTGATCTTTGATCGCTGTTTGCCCCCCCAGTTTACGTAGTAGGGCTGTATTCCATAATGAAAATTTTGTCTGCCGCTACATGTTCATATATTGAGTGGAAATGAATCTGCTATTGATTTTTGATGGAATGATATCACGCACTATCAATGGACAGCATTTCCAGCAAGTTTTGTTTAGGTAACGTTTTATACCCAATGGAAAATTAAGAAAGTCCCTGCGAAGTGGGAACTTCAGTTTCAGCACAGGCTTTCATTTCTATCGTACTGCGAAGTGTGTATTCCTTCCTACGTGTTTCTGATTTTTGTTTTGCTCTGTTATGCGCCTTTTATTTGGTCATTCAAGGATCTCATGCTAAGTGCTTTGGTTAAGCTCTTATATTCAGCGGCGACTCTTAAGCTTACCAGATTTTCTGCTAATATTTTTAGCCAGAGATGCCGCGGCAGTCTCAGAACAATCATTCTCCGATGCATCTATTATGGGCTGCGGTTGGTGACCTGCCTTTGCTTCTGTAATGCTTGTAACGACTAACGAGGGCACTAAACACATCTGAAATATTAGCGTAGCAGATCGAGTAGACCGCAGGACCTCCAGCTCCTTGCATACAGTGAACTACTTGCTGCTTTATTGACTCCCTTTTTGGCAGCCAAACTCCAACAGTCCCCATACCAAAATCGCCGGGCAAAACTTCCATCCATGCATCACTGTACATTTGCTTGAAAAGGAAACCATTTGCTCTTTGATTGATTCTTGTCTAGTAGATTACACCAAAGCAGCAAGATCAACAACCTAGCCAACCAACGAAACACAATTCCCCAACCAACAATTGTCTTTGTCTACGTATTTCCTAGACAGCAATATATAATTCATAATTGCATCATGCACATACATATTCCCTCGGCATACAACTTTTCCTGCGGACTTCGGACCGCAGAGAAAACATTCTTGGTTCTACTGATCGTGTCATTTCCTTTAACCATTTTTGGTCCTTCTTTTAAAGGATTTGGTATTTTGTGCCAGAACTAGAGGAAAGATGTCGAGAGAGACGAAACGAACTATTCAAACGGCGATCGGGACAATTTTTTTTTTTTTTTTTTTTTTGATTTGCAGTTGGAGAGGAGAAAATCAAATACGGGTAGCCCAAGGTGGAGAAGCAGGGCACATGCCAAATTTCTGGGACCTTGATAGAAAATTTTGCATGTGCCCTGATCCTCCATCTTGGGCCACTCCTATATTAGGCCGTGCAACTCCAAAGCCAGCAGTTCAGCAGAAATGTTTTATAGGTCAGTTTTTAAACTTAGCTCACGTTGTAGTGCATTGAAGCTATATATACACACTACAACAATATTAAAGCACTTTCCTCCACTGACATTACCTTGTATGTACATAATTGTTGAAGGACGAGTTTGCTGCCAGAGATGAATGGTCAATCATTGTGACCTTGAATAACTTATTCAGGTACATAAATAGCTGTGCTTGGCAATCAGATAGATCAAATAAGAGTTGATAAGGTGAAATTTAGTACATGTTCGACTTACTCTTCTTTCATCACTTAGGATCTTATCGGCTTTCCAGAGCTACTGCAGCTGAATCGACATGAAGAAGCAAACAGGAATAAATTTTTTGCTTCAATCTATCAACAATTTCGCCCAACTCCTTTTTCTCTGAGTCTGCATCATTTCTTAGTTGATCCAGCCATTCGTTCGCATGCTTAAGCTGTGACAACGTGAGAGCAATCTGGTTACCAGGATCTGTTTGGTTTATAAGATAATCCTTTCCCTTTTTGTTCTGCTTACCCCCTTGGAAGCCTGAATCAAGTGCCTCTTCCAAGAACTTCAAGAACCAAGCTTGTGTTTCATTCAAAACAATCTCTCTTAGTTCCTTGATTTCCTTTGAACCATCTACATTTGCCCATTCGAGTTTATCGGTGACAGTCAGATCTGTCGGAGACTTTGAAAGTTTCATCCTATCTCTACTAACTGAGGAAGATATCCTTTTGCCATATTTGTCTGTATTTTGCATGGATGAGTTGACGGTGAAATGATCTGGTGTATCCTTTGATGAGTTTGTGGCATTTGGATGTTTAATAAGCTGGTGGAGCGTAAAGAACATTGAAAGATAGAGATGGGGGTTCGTTGGTGAAGCGGATGAGCAAAGATCAGCAAAGATACTGGAAACACAGAATGCATTATGTTCCCAGAAAGTCTGAAGATGATCTTATGTAATTCTTAAATAAGCAAACATTGTAGGCCTTCTGTCTACTCAATTTACGTATTTAATGTCGAATTTAATTTTTTTTTTTTGCCAAAAGCAAAGAATAAAAGGAACAATTATCTGTAACTACCTGAGGCACTTGACCAGATTTGCTGCTGTGGAAGCTTCTTTCTGGGCTTCAGCTGCTACTGAAGAGGCCAAGTTTTTCCTCCGAAGCAATCCCTAGGTGTAAAAGTTGAAAATGAGAATTATATCAAGATGGTAAATTGGTACTATTTTAGCAATTTTTTATCTGTATGGATTATATGTTTTAGCAGCTATATCCTATTACGACTAAATGCCTTCTCTCTGTAGATAATTCGCATTTTAATGATAAAAACATCGGATGGTTGAGTTCATACGAGTAATCAAAACTATGAAAAAGGAAAGCATATTGGGCTACTAGATAGGGTACTTGATGTGTGTGTGTATATATATACCTTGCCAGGCTTCAGCAGGTTTGCAGGTAGATTTGACCAACATATTCCCTCAGAAGATTGGTGTTTGCCTCGATTGTTAGGCAAGCAATTCGAGTCGATGTTTTCTTGTTTGCTGCTGGTGTGTTTGATAGCTGGATATTTAGAGGATGCAAAGGCCTCCTTGCCGTTTAATGTGTCAATGTCTGAGTTTGTAGTAAGTCCATCAGGGCGAGTTCGTGAAGGAGTCAGAGTTCGAGTCTGTAGGGCAAATTTCAACCGTCAGTCTTGTCCAGATTAATGAGCATATGAAAGTGAATCCAAGGTTGAAGAAAATAGACCTTATTCTAACATACTGATTCTCGTTTTCTGTCAATTGTATCATTTTAATCACGGACGTTCAAAGTAGGACTGGTACAGACAAACTGCTAGATTGCAATTGTTCCCTCACGAAGTATGATCATTAAGGCATGAATTTCCTTGCTTCTTTCTCATCAAAGCAAAACTAGAATCCTACCGAGTAATGCAATTAATGTTTACTCTGTCATCCAGACAAAGCACCGGAACAGAGAACATACGCTACAAATTAGAAAAGCACGTTCATCACATGGTTATTTGGTGGTGATCCATTTCTTGCAAATCTATGCATTCTCAAAGCAGAAAATTTCTTATGAATTAAGACTGTCAAGGGAATTCCTAAATTTTGAGACAGTAAAAAGTCAGAAAATACACAGATGGTTCTAAGTTAGTGATGTCAAAAGAAATGAAATGCTAAGAACGATTGTACTTGTACCCCATTAGCTCTTGCTAAGTTGGATAAAAACAACTGAAGGGCAGTACACTATGTTGGTAAGGAAATTATTTATACCTGAACCTTGATCTCTGCTTGTTTCCCTTTCAAAAATCCATTCCTCTTTCCTGCTACAGCATTCTCACCGCCGGGGTCAGCTCCATTTGCTTTTCCATTTGGTGTCAAGACACCCTGCATATACCTTGAGGAGACAACAGCCTTGTCCTCTTTAATAATGATTTTCTTTCTTTGGCCATTTTCTTTTGCTTCTGGCGGTTCAACTGATACTGAACTATCTTCACCTTCCTGATCAACTTGAACGGGGCCTTCAGATGGCTCTAACACCTGCATCAAATCCTTGGGATTACCAATGAAAGGATGTCGGCCTGGAAGCGGTCTAACACCAACTAAGACGGGAACTGGAGTTCCAGCCTCCATCCTATCAACATAGAAGAACTGCCCAAGCTGCAGCTTGTTGTTTAAGATAAGTTCATTGTCATCTTTTGACAGGGATACATATGTTGAATGTGAAGAGTCGGAGACCTTTATGAAAAAGCCATGGCAAGGCCACAACTCTGATCCACTTAAGGCTGGGACAATGCTGATTACTTGTAAAAGGATAGACCTATATTCACCGCGAACCTTAACAGATGAGTTTATAGTCTGCAGAAGCTTAAGCAGCACTCCAGGTGTAAGGGATGCCATCTCTTTTTCCTTGTTCAAGGGGAAACTGAATTCGCTCGTGCAAATCAGCTTGAAACTCGAGACCTGTGATTAATAGGTGGTAAATCAGGTGATTTTGCTGGTCATGATCATTGAAGTATTGCTTCTGTCAAGTGTTGATCAAACTTATCAACTATGTAAGTACTACAGGAGAGTAGCAACTAGATTCATTTTACTCTTGGTGGATGAAAAATAGGTCTCATCAAAGTGCTTGAAACATGAACTGGGGCTACATTGAGGTTGGTTTTTGTTTTTCTCTTGCTGGATACCCGATTTGAATTAGGATAAAAGGTTTTCCAGTAAGTCGATGGTTGCATTTCTTTGATTCATTGTCTTCGTTGTCCTAGTCTTTGATCAAGTTAAATGCACAGTAAAATCAACTCTAGGAGAACCAGAAAGCAACAAGTGTTAGCGGAGAAAGACGTTTTCGGTTTGGAAACAGTTTTCCTCCAAAAAAACAGACAGGCGATCTATATACTTCGCAAACCAAAAAAGAAATAAAACGACCCACAAAACTGATTATCAGGAGTTTTTGCTTAAAAGACGGAGATAGGAGATATGCACACCTGAAAGAAGAGCACGAGAGCCAAGGATACAAAAAACACAAGAAGGATATAGAACCAAGCGTCAGCCTTTGAGGGAAGTGATAAAAGAGTTCAAAATGTTAAAAGGTCAGAGATTCCAAACGAGGTGGAAGCGGACAATGGAGTTAGCTTCATATTGCAGGCACGTAATCATCCAAACTTCACTTCCCTTGGCTTTGAAGAAAAGAGACAATCTTTCTCGAGAATAAATGTCCCGAGGACATCTTTCCTCAACTTTGAATGACTGCTTTGCCCCCACGTCTAAAGTAAGATGTTGAAGACGTCCTGGACGATGCTTAATGTGGCTAATATGGTAATGTCTGTCATGATACCATTCAATAAACCCATTATCACACACTCAGGCAGAGGGAATGGAGCCATTTGGAAAGGTAGTGGAATTGCAATATCTTAATCTTGTGTGAGATAAAAGTCAGGTCAGTTTGACCAAATCACGTAAATTTCCTGTGTTTCCCTGTTTGATTTATTTGTTTTGTTATTAGTCTTATTAGATTGTCAAAAACCATATTATTCTTGTTGGCCAATTACTCGAGGCCAAACATTGATTTATATATTAGAGAATCATTTGACTTCATTGTTTCACTTTTAAATGGAACAAAAAGTTTGACTTGTTACTCTGCTTTTCCGGTTTCGTAGTTGAAAAAACCTCACCTTTGAGTTCGACTTAAAAAAAAGCAAGATTCATTGGTGTCCAAACTTTATGGGCCATGTCATTTATGTTTTTGCCCTTCAAGTGCACAAGGCGGCACAATACAGTTTCCAGCCATACCAACTTGCCGCCACTTCTGAAGGAAACGAAAAGGAAAAGATCGGTGGTCTTTCTTGCTTCGGATTTTGCAATCTGATGCATTGAACTCCTCATCACCATCAAATTTTATTGCTTATTCTGCATAGTATAAGTGGGAGAGGGGAAGCAGGTGTTTGGGCGCGCAGTTGTTTCTACGAGACTGGGAAAAATAGAACATCAACTTGCCTTCGTGTGTTAGTTGACAAAACAGAGAAAGGTCTTGAATGGTGTAACTGCTCTCTACGGCCCACCTTGCCCCTGGTCGAGTAGAATTAGATTACTCTTCATAGCAATTTCAGATGAGAGGGTCGCATATCAAGTTGACAACTCTTACAGAGCTTTAGTACTTTTTGAGTTTGTGAGTTGTTTTAAACTCAACACTTCAACATTACTGTGTAAATGTTCCTTGCAATTTCACTGAAAAAACTGTTCTTTCTGCAATCAATATAGAATTTTGAAGCATGTTTCAGTTTTCACCGCTCATGAAAATGCTGTTGCTTCCAATTCTGCACGAACCAGGCTAGCGTAGACACCATCAAGGTGGGAAGCCATAAGTTTTTCATGGCTTCCATATTCTGCCACCGCACCATCCCTCACAACTGCAATTGCATCTGCTTCTCTGATTGTTGAAAGCCGATGAGCCACCACAATGGTGGTGGCTCTTTTAGCAATCTTCTTGAGTGCATCTTGGACATGTTTCTCTGATTCCAAGTCTAATGCACTGCTAGCTTCATCTAGTAAGAGCACTTTTGACTTCTTCAGTATAGCTCTGGCTATTGCGATCCTTTGCTTCTGGCCACCAGACAACTGTATCCCACTGTCTCCAACCTACAGCAGGACGAGAATTCACTCAGCTACACAAGTCAGTTGATAGAACAGCAATAGGATGCTTAAGATTTATTTTTCACTTTGCAGTTATTTTTCATTGAGTGTACTCGCAGAAATTATCTCAGCTGAATGAAGCGTAGTAAGGCAAATCATCCAAGTAAGTTGCTATTTGCACCAGCTCATTCCCCTAATATATTGTTTTTCACTGTTGAGGAACATTTGAATCTTTACCTGCTGTTAAAAGGAATTCTCTAATATCATTACAGAATGTTTTCTCATTAACTTGAATTTTTGGTCATGCATTTAGGCTAGATTATATCTCAATACATGTTCAACTCAAGAGATCGACTGCATCAGCTACCCAGAGTACTATTTTCGTCACTTTCTAAAGTGTTTCGGTTTAGTGTAAGAGAGGTCATATAATAGTAGACATACCTCTGTCTCGTAGCCTTCAGGAAGGCCACTGATGAATTTGTGAATGTAAGCTTCCTTGGCAGCATCTTCAATTTCGGCCCATGAAGCGTTAGGATTGCCAAATGCAATATTCTCTCTTATGCTTCCAGCAAATAAGGCAGGCTCTTGACCAACTAATGCCGTCTGCCTTCTCAACCATTTCAAGTCAAGCTCCCTAAGATTAACCCCTCCCATCAAAATCTTCCCCCGAATTGGATCATAAAACCTCTGGACCATCCATATTACTGTTGATTTTCCAGATCCACTTCCTCCAACCAAAGCAACCATTGTCCCACCTTTTATCTTCAGACCAAAATCTCTCAACACGATCACATCAGGCCTAGAAGGGTATGCAAATGTCACCATTCTGAACTCAACATCAAATGGCTTCAACATTTCTATCTTGCTGCCTTTCTGGCTTTCATCTTGTATTAATGGCCTACGACTTAGTATATTAAGAACAGCTGGAACTGCAGTTGGGGCCAAGTAAGTGTCCGGTGCAAGTCCTGCAAGTTGTCCTACTGAAAATGAACTCAAAACAAGTATCAGAAAAATCTTGTACACATCCCCGAAGTTGGTATAGCCTTCTTTCACAAGATAAGCACCAAAGAATAAAGTTAAGGTATAAGCTCCATACATAGCACCTTGAGAAAACCCAAGAGCTAAACCAAGAATTTGTGTTCTTTTGACTGATAATTTTTTCGGCTTAGACAAAGCTTGATCAAAAGATTGAACTATGCGTTCATGAGTTGAGAAAGTGGCCACTGTTCTGATATTGGACACAGCATCTGCAGCAATATTGCTAGCTTTGGCATAAGAACTATTATCTAGTTTTGGTCCAACATTAATTATCAAGCTGAAATAGCTTGCACCAAGAGTGAATGGTGTAAGAGCAGCGGCCAAGAGAGTCAATCTCCATTCAAGAAAAAATGAAAAACCGAGGCCAACTGCTGCAGAACTCAACCCCATTAACAGCACTGAAATCTTATCGCCCAAAATTGATCGGAAACTAACACAATCACTTGAGAGCCTTGACACAAGTATCCCAGTGGAATTCTCATTAATGTCAAACCAGCCAGGTTCTTGTTTTAGTATAGCTCTGAACAAGAAATCTCTGACTCTCTTTGTGAGTTTGGTACCAGCCCAACCACAGAGACCTTGTTGGCCTGTCATGAATCCTATACACCCAAAGCCAAGTCCAACCAGAATCAAGCAGAGCTTTCTAATTTCTCTTTTCAAATTTTTGGTGTTTGGATCAAAGTAGACATTAAGTGCTTGGCCAAGAACCAGGGGAAAGACTGATAGAATAGCACCTGCATGCATACCCAAAAGAAGCCCCAATAACAGTATCATGAGTTCTGGTTTCTGTAGATTCCATACCTCTGAAAGTTTATATTTCCTCAACTCGGATTGTTTATCTTCTGCCTCTTCAACTTGGCCCACATCTTGATTGGATTTCAAGTACTTTGATCTTGATATCTCATATACATTCTCTGCTTGTGAGGGATCCTGATTCAATTTGGTATGGAAACCAATTGCAATATCGGATTGTTGCAACGTTGGTTTTGAGACAGCTTCCAAAGCAAGCTTAACCAGGTTATAGTAGGATCCAGAATTTTCCATGAGTTCATGATGATTTCCAATCTCCACAACAGAACCTCTATCAAGCACAACTATGGCATCCGCATGTTTGATTGTTGCTAGCCTATGAGCAATGACAATGGTGGTTCTACCCATTGAAATTTTATCTATGGCTTTTTGAACCACTGTCTCAGATTCAGGATCTAGCGCACTTGTAGGCTCATCTAGGAGAAGGATCTTAGGGTCCTTGATCATTGCTCGAGCAAGGGCAATACGCTGCTTCTGACCACCAGACAGTAAGGTTCCCCGATCTCCTACCTGCCCATGAGGGTGGGATTAGAATCTGAAGAGGGCAAAATATATTGTTGTAGATGTAACATTTGCTCCTATATAAATTGGCCTAATTGGATATGTAAAAAAATCAAAACATTTTACCATGGTTTCATAGCCTTGTGGAAGTCCAGAGATGAAACTGTGAGCATTTGCAGCAATGCAGGCTTTAATTGCCTCTTTCTTGGTGGCATTCTCCTTTCCCATCATCACGTTTTCTAGTATGGTTGTTGAGAAAAGAACTGGTTCCTGACCAACCATACCAATCTGACTTCTCAACCATTTAACTTGTAATGTCCTCAAATCGTTACCATCAAGGGTAACAATACCTGTCAAATTACAGCAAAGTTACCAATTTTTTTCTGTACACCAAAACCAAGAACCTTCATTTGTGATCGCTTATCACTGAGTGTAAACCTTTTTCTTTGTTATAGAAAGAAACAAGTATTTATAACAGACCAACCTTGGGTAGGATCATAAAATCTCTCTATGAGAGCAAAAATTGTTGACTTGCCGCCTCCACTGGTACCAACTAATGCCGAAGTCTTTGAAGCTGGAATAACCAAGTTGAGAGACTGGAGAATCTGGATTGTAGGGCGAGAAGGGTAGGCAAAGGTAACACCCTTGAACTCTATCTTCCCTCGTGGGTTGGAAAGCCTCTTCCCCTCAGCACTATAGGGATCAATATCTGGAACTCTGTCTATAACTTCAAATACTCTGCTTGCTGCTACGGTTCCTTGTGCAAATTGAGCAAAATATGACAAGGACAAAGCCAAGCCCCTGCACAAATGGTTTATTTGTTTACAGGATTTAAATTCTGGTTAGACATGGTAAGGTAAACAAATGTGATTTTAAAGTTCTGGAGAAGTCAAGTTTACTAGTTTCCATAACAGCAGAATGCTTTCATTCTTTCATCAGAGAAAGAGAGAGAGGAGTCTACCTTCCCCCTACAGTAACGCCAAAGAAACATGCAATGGCTTCACCTCCCTTTATCTCTTTCCTTGCAACTAAGATTGATCCATACCAGAAAGCCAATGCCCATGTAGCATATGTGACCAAATAGATAACTCCAATCCCTGCTCCCTTGGCAAACCCAATCTTTATCCCTAATGGCACCGACTTATCAAGCACATCAACGTATTTTTCAGCTAAAAGATCCTCTGCTACAAATGAGAATACAGTTCTAATCGATGATATGGCTTGCTCCGCTATGCTGCCTGCTCTACGGTAAGAGTCCTTAAATACACCATCAAAGAAAAAGTCAGCAAAGAAAACTAAGCTTCTCAGAACTTACAGAATTGTCACCGGAAATTTTTTGTTCTTTACCTCTTCTTTTGCAGCTAAACCACCATATATTGCCTTATAGGCAATGCCACAGAACATAGTCAATGGTGTGACTGCAAAGATTGCCAGGGAAATCTTCCATGATCTTAAGAATCCAACAGTGTAACCACATATGAATGTGAAGATGTGATGCACAAAATGTGCCATCTGCATTAAACAAAAGAAATTAATTGAAACCAACCCTGGAAAACTTAATGCATGATATGCCTACTGTACAAGTATACTACCACACAAATGGTCACTGTCAGCTGATCCAGGAATGTTAAGGTCAGTATTTGAAATTCAACTCATTCATACCTACATTCACATCGCTACATCTCTGAATATCTCTGTATGTGGCAAACCATCTAGAACTTAACTAATTCACCTCATTATGTTGCAACTCTCCTTAGATTGCTTTTATTGATGCAAATTGGTGTTAGTCAATGCAAGTCATTAGAACAATAACCTAAACCTATCGTCACCTTCTCTCCCATCACTTCCTGGATTTGTGCAACATCACTTGAAATTCCGTGCATAATGTCACTGGTGCTGATATCAGTGTCAAAAAAGCCTATATCCTGTCGCAAAACTGCTCTTAGATACTGAGTTCTAATTCTGAGGGCAGATCGTTCCCCAACCATTCTCCAACAAGTAATTTCTACCATTAGAAAAAAAATTGCATCAATAGCGAATATTATTGCAAATTGAAGCGTACAGAAAATGGAGAAGAAAGTATCTAGCCTACCCATATATGCTCCAACTACCACGACTGCAGCCAATCCAGTCATAAGCAGACAAATCTGAAATAAGAGAACATATTATCAGCCCATCGTTGCATGCTCATATAGATGTATGCTCACCTATGTATCTGCTGTTATGCATAAGGCATAACAGCATAGTTGTATTGTATTTGCAGCTAGAATATTGACGGAGGAATGCCAAGTAAACTTGGTCATACAACATTTTTTCTTCTAACCAGTAATTAAAAGCTGGCAACCTTATGTTAGAACAACATCCTACTTCTGAGTGCCCATCACATTACCAGATACTGTAGTGACAAAGCGCGTACCTTTTCCACATCTTTCATCATCTTTTGTAAATCAGTTTTTGATTCCTTTGCAATTTTATTTACAAACCGTCCGAAAAGATAGGAATACCAAGGAAGAGATCCCCCATTTATCAAAGATCCCAAACAACCTAACAGCACAAGTAACAAATCAAATTTGGTTGAGTACTTGAACAAACCAAACAGTCCGACTGACTTGGGCGCCCCAACATCATCGTCATCAAAATCTTGTACATCGTAAGCCAATTCCTGGTCAACATCATACCCACTGTGACTGTGAGTGCGGTACTGATTACTTGTAGCTTCATGAACTCGGTGATTTGGAGTCTTATGATCATTATTAAAAGAATACAAGTCATCATTGATGTTTTCCAGGGCATGCACTGTATGATCGTAGTCCCCATGACGATATGGCGCTGTAGCCAATGATGTCCGGTGATGATAATGATGATGATTCTGTCCATACTGACAGTTTAACTTCCGATGGCTTTGTGCATCGCCGCCATGAATATGGTGGGTGGTGTGACCAGGATTGCGAGGACCATGACCAACGCTATACAGGTCATCTTCTGTTCCTTTGTGCTTATAAGCGTTTGATATTGATAACCAACTAGGGTTCTGGCGTTGGAGGTGACCTGGATCAGTCTCTAACAAGTTGATTTGATGATCTAAATCCTCCGGTGCATCATAATCAACTAAGCTCAGCTCGTCTTTGTCAGCCAAAGGCCCACTACTTGCAGCACTCCTTTTAGTAGCAGCTGACAAGTGACGATGAGCTCCATGCGGCATAGTTGGTTCACGGGGAGCAAATCTTCTTGCAGAGAACGCGTCTTCTCCATCTCTGGCAACATAGCTCTGTAGCTCAAGCCTTCCAGACGGTAATGCTTCATAATGTCCGGAAGAATGATCATAGTATGGATTGGTAAAGCTACGTAAACCAGCAGCAGCAGTAGTACGTGAAAGAAAATAGTCCTTTGCTGATCTCCTGAATATCCTACTGCCACTTGAATATCCTACTGGGCTCAGTGCAGCACTAAAATCGCGATTGTCACGCCATCCAGTAGGGTTGAACTGCCATGACAGCTCACCTTGCCATGACCTGTCATCATCAGCTGCAAAAGGGCTGGCTGGAGTGGGGTTTCGAGGCCTGCGTGAGCCCAAAGGAAAGTCGTACGAAGTGGAAACTGAAAATGAGGCGGATTGAGGTTGAGATCTTGCAGGGGTAGTGTGGTATTGCCGGTGAGAATTACGTGGGGTAGCAGGTGTTGAGTGCTCAATTTCGGAGGAGTATGCATCCATGAATGGAAGACTCCTGTGTAAGGCTTTAAGCAGGAATAGAAGGTATGCAAATTTAAAATTTCACTATGCTACAAGTTGAGTACCACGCGAAGGTTTCTAGAATGAAGGTTGCTAATCAATCGTGACTGGATTTGGTCCTAGGAAAAGCTGTTACGCGTGTTTCTCGATGGAAATCCAAAGTTCTTTCACGTCACAAAGTTTGGTTGCATGTGAATGTGTAGCATTGGGGTTCAAAAGATGCTACTAGCTGATTGCTAGAAGCCGGCACCGTGCATTTGAATAGTGAAAGCCAGGATCGCCGGCATGACGCTTCTAGTTGTTTAATCTTTTTAGAGATCTTAAATAGTAGCTTTAATGAATAGTTTATTGTTTCTTAAGTTACAACGGCTGGGGTACGTGTTACTGCAGCTTGCTTGTCCCTGCCCTTACAGTGCTAGTCCTGATCATCATCTTCTTCTTCATTTGTTTGTATATTGGCCATCGGCCATCATCATTTCTACCGTTACATCCTCTCAATGGCGATAATCTTATGCGAATGACTTTTCCCAGTAAGCATCTTGTCCTCCGAAGGACAAGTTAAGATTCAAACCAAAAAGACAGCATTTGGATGTTGATTAAACCAATGCTAAGATTAAGTTTGACGCAGTGCTGCATAGTCGGAGAATCACATTTAGTTAAGACAAATAAAAAGTATGATGTGCAACTTCAGATGGATTTTGAATTTTGATTGCAGTCCGAAATGTCAAGAACGTCATTCTCCGACGAGTTACCCGGCTGCGAATGATTAGCTAACTTCGTCTTCAATTCAGGATACTGGGGTGTCAAGAATAGGGTACAATCTGGTGGTTAAACTTTGCTGTTCTCGTCTAAACAGTTTCCGTTTGTCATTTTGATACGAGAAATTATTCTGTCTAAAAAGAATAACGAAACCAGAGACCTTTGTCCTGTCTACACCTTCACTTTCTAAAAACCTGACCATCTACATATCACGAACCCTCTAACCGGAGGGCCAGAACTCTGACTACGACTGGTTTGAATATGATCTATATAGAATATGTTCACCTTCTCTAGGGCACGACTCCTTCCAAATGTCACTTTTAGCAATAACAGGCGTGCAAGTCTCTGGTATTTGCTAGCGGATGATGGATTTGTCATGTTTTTGTGTCATTTGTCCAAGGGGAAGTGCCCCGGCTTTAGCAGTCAAAACAAAATCGATATAGAAAGGTCTATATATTAAAGAGAGAGAGAGAGAGTGAAAAGCTGGTGAATGTGGAAAGACTAATAACAAATACCAAGAATAATGATTTAACCACACAAACAAGTGGCTAAGTACAGAGTCCAACACTACTACAATCATCCCTCTCTGTTTTATCACAAAGCATAACCCAAAAATGACGCGCCCATGTCCAACATGCAAGATTTCAAGAAATTAGTCAAACAAAGTCCATTGTCTCCTTGGCGACTGGATTCAAATGAAGCGGAATAAAAACACATTTGCCGTTTTGTTCTCCCTCTTTTCTCTGGAAAGTGGCTTACCATTTCCAAAATCCTTGCCTAGATCCTATTTCTATAGATGTACAATACCATTTCCGTAATTATTGACTAGATCCTATTTCTGTATACGTATATATAGCACAAGTTATCTTTTAAGTTCCGAGGAGTTAACACAAAAATTCTGAAACAGCCTCATAATTCCCACATTAAACTATCAAAATGAAAGAAAATACACGTGGCCTCCATTTTTGGCTTAAAACATTGCTAATTATGACAGTAATACAAAAGCTTCCTGATCCATATGACCCAATCATGCTATCATCAAGTTCATGGATAATCCCTACATTACATGTACCAAAACGTCACCTCTCCAAGTATTTGAATTTGTGTTTTCATTCTAAAAATTCTCAAGCTAGAAAACAGCCAGTTAGTAATCATAAATCTGTTTCCACAAGCATCACTATGGACGTCAAACTTAGAATGCCTAACATCTGTTTCCAGACGTTAACACAATCTTCACGGCTGAAATCAGCTTTGTGGCTTCCTTATCCATATATTTGGATGCAAAAACTAGGCAAAAATACAGAAACATACAAAACAGGCATCATCTACAGCATATCACAATCCATGAATAAAGTGATGTTCTTGCTTTGGATTATCTTAATATGCAATATGTCCAATCATGCGAATTCAATGTAATGTTCTTAAGTTATCTGGATCTGTAAATAGGTCCCTCTTTGTCTCTCCCTGTACATTTGTGTGGTTTACAAGAATGTAAAAATTGCAAATAGCAAATGTTCTCATATCAAGACTCCAGAAGAGTTACATTTGGTATGGCATCAGCAACAAATAGTCAACGAAGATGTATAGACATTTTTGTGCTATAGGCATCTTATACAAGCTGTTGCATCGCATAATCACATAGTTCTCCTTTAAAGCTGTCCCATATGATTCCAACAAGAATATAACTTCTGATATACATTCGGACAGGTGTGATACAAATGACAAGATTATAAAGAATGCTTTTACTACCAAAATCACATTAGCATTCCGCCAATTGGAACTGTACTCTCAAAGATATACATGTATTTAAGCACTACGACCTGAAAGTTGGGCAGGCCCAATCAAAGTTCACTAGCTCCATCAAGTGTTTGAAAAACCAAACAGACCTTTCATTGCATGGCACCTCCTTGACAATTGCTCGTTTGTTCAAACATCACATTGTCGATCATGGAAATCACAAAGATTTTATGGAAGGGACTTTCTCACAGAGACTCAATCATCTAGGTTTTGACTCACTTCCTTTGCTCCGGAATGATGATAAGGAGAAAAATGATCTTGGTGCTGTAAATTCATGGGATGTTTTAGTCAAGTTAAACAAGAAATCATTTCTTAGAAAGCTGTACGCAATAATCTTTGCTAAGAAATCTGACTAAAGGCAGCTACATAGAATTCATTTAAATTCAATGATACTATAAAACATTTGCTTTAGTTGTTAAGGATGAACACCAATCTCCTTCCTCAATGCCGAAGTTTCCAAAATTTTTTCATGCTTGCAGCAAGCAACTTCTCAGAAGCAAAACTATCACACACGAGACCTTTTTCTTTCTTATTTAGGCCCCTTTCTTCATCAAATTAGTTAAACTAAAAAAAGTGATCAAAAGAGAAGCCACTAGTGCTTCAGAGCACAGGTCAACCAATCTATGCAAATAGGCATCGAAAATCTTCCCAGTTAATAATCAAATCCATCTACATACATCTATGAGTGCAACAACAATAGATTTTTTTTTTTACATACAACAACACTAGAATCAATGCAAATTCAGTTATCATTTCCCTACTTTACAACACCATGAGTTTGGACCCATAAGCAGCCAAAGTATGAAGTCAGAATGTTGCCGAAAATGCAGCACAAACGAGTACCTAGTGAGACTTTGAAGAAATATGAATTCTGAAACCTCACCACATAATATCAACAGAAAGTACCCTCATTTGTAAAGTAACAGGAAAACCTATTTGACAAACAGAGTGGGACTTCAGATCACAGAACAGCTGTTTGATCATCAACTTATACTGTAGTCACTGAGAAGTTAAAACAGAGGCCTCTTCACTCAATGCTGATCTAAATCGGCACTATGTAAGTCTAATATTTCCAAGCACCTAAACGTCTAAGACAACTTGTCAAAAATCTAAACCATTCTATTCAAGTGTTCAATATCATGCCAGTACACAGAATTCAGTAGACACGTACTCCACCATCTCATGACTTCAATCCACTTACTGGCAAAGAAAATGACAAAGAAGCAACATTATGTTGTAAAGAGTCACCTTTAATTGAGCTCCCAGACACATGGTCCTCTCTCAGTTTAAAGTTTGCTGGAGGTGCTGGGATAGAGCTCCGCAAGGATTGAACTGTTTTAATTAAGAGCATGCACATAAGAAACTTGATAAACAAATATACATATTAAAGAAATAGGGGCAAAATGCCAAAGATATTTAAAGAAGAAGCTACTTGATAGATCAGAAAGAAACTCATAGAAATGAAAATAACAAGCCATTCCAAAAGTCCATATATGATCCTGTACTGCAGAACTTAGGAATTGAAGTTTTGATGACTAGAGTCCTTATAGCTAGTAGAGTAGCTATTAAACCGAATCTCTAGAATAAATTTTCTAATGAAACATCTCAATCATCCAAAATTTCTACTGGCATGCATTTGTAAAATTTCAATATAGAACAGTAAATTTGTGGAAACCATCATATGCACCAATCACAAATAAAATTGATATAGGCAGAAGAAAAAAAAACTAAGCTAAACTAGTAACTAACAGTATTTAATCAAATAAACAATATCTAGGCGAACAACTGTCAACTCAAACAACAAAGGACTCTGCTACAGTTAATCCAACAAACAAAAATGAAGATATCAACAAATAATTAAAAACTACATGTGTGAGTGTGTGTGTGCGTGTCTATGTCTGTATGTTAACCTTGTTCGTTGAAAAATTCGCTCTCATTGAAGCTATCATCTGAAGGATGTCCCTGCGATGATCCCATTCTTGACTTCCTAAGGTCTTCTGATGACCGATTGGCAGTATCACGCCCATCTTCTGTGTCATCATCTCCCTCAGATGTGGTAGCAGAAATCCAGTCAACAAGAGTTTCTGCGCCACGGCTTTTCCTTCCAAATTTTAGTAACCTTTTAAAGCCTCTAGTCATATCCTTGCGTGACTGATTATTGGAAGAATTACCAACCAGCATTGGTTTCTGAGCTGCTCCCCATTTCTTCCTCATCCGAGCTGCATCAGTCTCAGTTTGACTCAGAGAATGCGAATTCCAAGATGCAGGACTCCCAACAGGGGAATCAACAGAGGCATCAACGTCAGACGTCTCATGAGAATAAGCAAATGAATGATGAGTCCGTGAATTCCACGACACAGGGCTCTCTCCTGGTGAATCCTGTACATTTTCAGAAGGATGAAAACCAGAAGGAACTGCAGCAGCTAATTCAGCCACTAATGATGAGTCCACTTGC